TCCAGGAAACACACAGCCAGGCAGACTGGCTCACATACTTTAGGTCAGAGGTAACCAATTAAAAGTCAGTGTTGTCCGAATAAAGAAAATCAACCACCAGTAAAGGTCTGAAGACATTTTTAATTATAATCTGTTACTTTAAACAGAATTTAAGGCTGAAATAAAATTAGGTGTTTATGCATCAATGTTATACATTGAATTTTTAAACAAAAATATATAAAAGAAAAATAGAACATTTTTCCATTTTAAAATCTAAAGTGCTTTTTGAAGTAAATAACAACAATCGTTCAGTTTGGTATATAGACAATTTCCTGATTCACATATTTTATAAAACACCTGAACTGACTCTTATGGCTTAATGAGAGCAGTGGGCTTTATGCTGCTTTAAAAGAGGCTTTAAACCTGGGTTTGAATGGAGACAAAACATTCTCAAGCACATATCAAGGTGCTCATTTTGAGCCTGCGGTCCGCTAATCCTTGACCTCTGCTTTAGGTTTCAGTGATTGTTTTATGTTTGAAGATGAATCAAAAAGACATGACTCAGTCCACTGTTATTCACCAACGCTAAATCTGAATATCTCTTATGGAATCAGAAAGGCCATGAAGAACAGCATCCCTCCCTGCTACTGAACTTAGTTTGAACTAGAAACTCACTGTGAGGAAAGCTGATTTCGGACCGCTCTCCTTAAGCTTAAAACACTATGGCCCATTAAACAATATGTTTACCCACCATTAAATTAATTTATACATAATATATCCCTGTGAATTTATGGGTTGCCATTATTTTCAGACCTGTGAAATGAAAATAAACCTAGAGCAGTAAATAATTCATAAGCTTTGGTGTGAAACCCCAACAAATCTAATAATATCCGTCACTGAGGCTCTTCAGTAGCGCAGTAGCAGAGATCAGAGTCTCTGTCCGGGGACAGGGAACTGTTATGACTACCACGTATATCCTGTGATGAAGTTTTTTTTCTCTGTAAGCAACCCAGTTTTTACAGACAAAGCAGGAAATGTTTGTTTTCTAAAAAAAGGAGCTTAGGACACAAGAGATAAATATCCTCACCTCAGAAACAAAACTAGTCTAAACAAACTGGAATTAACTTTCTGTCTTTTTTGTAATCTCAATTCTAAGGTGTGATAGTCACATTTCTACTGTAGTTGATTCACGTTTTTGTTTTCCTCTTCTTAAAATTCACCTTTTTTCTTCATTCATTCATTGCTAACTTTTATCCTTTGATACTTTTAGTTAAGCGCAGTCAAAACTCACTAATACTGTATATATATTGTTTATTGTTTATTCTTAATGCACCTTTTTCCTCCTTGTTTGCTCCTTCTTTGACTTCAATGCCAATATGTGACAGGTGAATTTCTCCGCTGTGAGATCAATAAAGCTAATCTAATCTAATCTAATCTAATCTAATCTAATCTAATCTAATCTAATCTAATCTAATCTAATGCTCTTTTAATCTTATAGCACTAATACACCGTTTTTAATAGATTTAGTTATATGTAACTTTTTGAAAATACTCAGATATGTTTTGTACTCTGCAGCTTTCAGATTGACATCCAATATTAGACAGCAGAATTTGAAACTCACACAAAGGCAAATAATTTGTTTCTGTAATTGGTTTCGACTGCCTCTAAAAGCTTCGGATTGCAGATGTGAATGGAAAATAAAAAAAAGCACCTGAATAAATTCAGTAAAAAGAGATTGGTAAAAATAATTATACTGATGCTTTAGTTATTGGTTTCTTGCAATAATAAGAACAGGAAAACATCTGGGCTGTTCTGCTCTAACAGGGTGTGCTCACTTTGTTTACCATCTTCACAGCAGAAGATGTCAAGCCCTTGTTCTCTGATAGGAAAATAAGCCATGGATGGATGGATGGATGGATGGATGGATGGATGGATGGATGGATGGATGGATGGATGGATGGATG